AGGGCAACGCCAGGGGCCGCATCCCACCCAGCACGGGCTTGGCTCTGGCTGTGTGTCAGTGACAGGGCTGTGAAGAGCCACTTGTGGGGACGTCCTCATGCCTGGAGCTTGGCACCCACAGGGAGCAGGGACGGGCTGGGTGTCGGGGCAGTACCCGGCCTCCAGGGCCCTGACGTGTCATGCCCGGGACTCAGGGCTTTTAGAAGAGCCCGTCGACGTGGAGCAGGCTGGGCTGGGGCTTGCTTTTTTTCTTTTTTCCCCCAAATTTTTTTCAAAAAGTATTCCATTAGTGCCTATCAATTTTGGAGAACACTAGGTTTCGGTGTGGTGTTTCCACACATGTAAATTTTTCTTTTTTTTTTTTTGTCTTTTTGAGACAGGGTCTCACTATGCAGTTCAGGCTGGCTTTGAGCTCACTTTGTAGCCCAGGCTGGTCTGGAACTTGCAAGGATCCTCCTGCCTCAGCCTCCCGAGTGCTAGGATTACAGGTGTGCGCCACCACGCCCGGCTGTGCAAATGTTTTGATCACACCCATCCCTGCTGTCCTCCTTCACACGTCCCCGCCTCTGCCCCTCGCTCTTGCCTGCCTGCCTTCCTCCTGCTTCCACACTTGCTTCTGAGACCCCTCGGGTCAAGGAGAACGTGAGATGCTCGTCTTTCTGAGTCTGGCTTCTCTTAGTGTGATACTTTCCGGATCCTGCCCTCTTCCTGCGAGGGGCGCAGTGTAACCCCCTTCGTGGCTGAGTGGTGCTCCGTGGTGTGTGGCAGCACCGCCCTGCGTTCTGTTCCTGGGCTGCAGGCTTGTTCCGGGTTGCGGCTGCCGGACAGCGGCGTGAACAGGGTCTGCAGCTGGCCCTGTAGTGTGCTGCCTCCGGTGTCCCTGCGTGTGCTGAGGGTGCCATAGCGGGCTCGAGTGGGAGTGCTTGTTTCGTCTTTTTGAGGATTCCCCATCCAATTTCCACAGTGGCTGCACTAATTCCAGCCGGCAGGGTGGAAGGGGTCCTCTCCCCCACATCCTCCCCAGTGTCTGTGGTCCTTGCTTGTTTGTTCTTGTGTTCTTGATGACGGTCACTCTGACTGGCGTGAGGGGGGCTCAGGGGTTGTGCCCTGCATTTCCCCAGTGACTGAACATATCGGACGTTTTTCATGTCTTGTTGGCCGTTTGTACTTGTTCTTCTGAGAAGGAGCTGTTCAGTTCCCTTGCTCACTTACTGATTGGGCTGTTTGATTTTTGGTGTTAAGTTTCTTGGATTTTTTCATATTCTAAAAATTGATCGTGTGTTAGAAGAGTGACTGGAAGCCTCTGCCCTGTTCTGTGGCGGTCTCTCGCCTCGGTCAGACCCAGAAGTGTGGTGCTGGGTCTCCCGGTAGTTCGGTCTGATTTCTTGAGCCCCTCTGTGCTGGCTGCTGGACTCCCACCGGCAGCGTGCTGTTGCCTGCTCAGCAGCTTCGCAGCGCTGCTTTTCTGTGCCTCCTTCCCGGGGGAGGCGGCTGACGTGGTTTGGTCTGCACCTCCCTGGGTCGGCAGTGCTGAGCGCTTTTCTTAGACCTGCTGGCCACCTGTCCCTTCTGGAGCAGTGTCTGCGCAGGGCCTGTGCTGTGTCTGACGCGGTCATGTCTTGCTGTCTGGCTGACATGCCCTGTTAGCTGCTGGGTCGGTCGTGTCTTGCTGTCTTGCTGACATGCCCTGTTAGCTGCTGGGTCGGTCGTGTCTTGCTGTCTGGCTGACATGCCCTGTTAGCTGCTGGGTCCGGAGGTGCTTTCTCCCTTTCCGCAGGTGGCCTCTTCACACTGAGCCTTGCCCTCACTGCGCTGAAGCCTCTCGGCTTGGTGCAAGCCCATTTTCTATTTTTGCTTCTGTTGCCTGTGCTTTTGAGACTGTGTCCAGAATACCATTATGAGGCCGATGTCCTAGGGCTTCCGAGGGAAACAGAAACACGACCACAGGAGGAGGAGGCTGAGCGCAGACCTGCCGTCGGGGTAGGAGGCTTGGTGGATCGGGTGACAGCACAGGGTGAGGGGCAGGCGCTGTCCTCAGGCGAGACTCCCATGCTCTTGGTGGCCGAGCACCGCCTCGTCTGCCCAGCCCCGCCAGACGCCTGTGGGGGGCTGGGGGCCGGCAGCAGCTGCAAGAGCCCGGCAGCAGGTGCCCATGTGGGGTGGACAGCTGTTCCTGTGGGTGGTGCCTGTGCCATGCCATGCCAGGCTGCAAGGCCACAGCTCAGGGTGGCGGCCCTATGGGCAGACATGAGTGGCCCGGGCAGTGGCAGGGCCAAGGCAGACGGCCGGGTGGCCGGCGCACAACACGTGCCGCACGTGTTCTGATGGGCCACCTGTGCACAGGGCAGCTCACAGCCGCATGGAGGAGCGTCTGCCCTGCCTGCTCACCTGTTGCAGGTCCCGTGTGTGCTGTGCATCTATGTGTGCCCCACACTGGCAGAGCCCATTTCCTGGGGCCTGGCTGCTGGCCGGAATGCCGGGGTCAGTGTGTGTGTCCTTTGTCCATTTCTCTTTATTCTTATTGTCTATATTTTTGTAAACTGAATTGTGAACACATAAAAGCCATGCACTTAGCGGGCTCTTTGGACCTGTTCCGTGATGTTTGTCTTACATAGTTGGGTGTGATCGTGTGATGTTTGACTCTACCACCTCCAGTGCTTGTCAGGCCTCTGTGGGGGAAGCATTCCAAGTGCTTTCCTGGCTTGTGCAGTCACCTCCAGCACCCCTCAGTGCAGCAGCACGCCCCAACTTCTTGTTCATGTCTGCTTTGTGCATTTCACTGATCCCCGTGGTTATTTATCGATGGGATGCCGTGTGTGCATGCGTGCACACATGTCCACACGTATGCACACAGATAATTCTTGCTGTGGGTAGAACTGGCAAGCGTTTTTCTCAATACATCGTGTGTCTGTCTCTGTGGGCCCAGGAGCCCAAGGCCACGTGTGTGCTCAGCACACCTGCCAGAGACAATGGCTTTTGTGCCCCTCCGTGCAGATACTTTTAGAAATCTTTCCAAATGGTCAAGTGATCAAATATATTCATTCCTCAACATCTTGTGGGTTCAGAATCACAGAGAAAAAAGCATTCCCTATTCTAAGGTTATGTGTAAGCCCCTCATCATTTTTAACACTGTCTTTGAATATTTAATTACTCATATACACACTTACCACCTACGTACATAATGATGTCGCAGTGCTGTTGGTCAGGTTAGACGCCTGCGTTTTCTTTTTCCTCCCCTCCTCCTCCCTGGCTTTTCTCCCCTTCCGGTCCAGCGAGGAGACCAGGACATGACTGTGTGCGTGTACTCACAGATGTCCTCAGAAAACTGCAGTCTTTGTTTACAAAAGCCTGTTCATGTCACCACCTGTTTTTACATCCTGCTGTTCAAGTCCCCTGTGGGATGCTCTAGGTGGCAGCCCTGTACCTCTTCTCTGGGCAGGCAGCTGCCTCAGCCTCCCTCCAGCAAGTCTGCAGGGCACAGCTGCACTCAAGCTGGTGTCCAGCCCATGGCCCAGACCCAGGCCCCAGCACGCTCCCAAGCCCCGAGTCTGCCGCCCTGTTCCAGCGTGCTGTCGGCCTGTGATCTCATGCCAGGGCCCATCGTAGGCCAGCGGCGCATAGAGTCACCCCGAGAGAGGGAGAAAAGCGGGAGGAGCTGCGGCAGGGGCAGCCAGGCAGAACCCACCCTGGCTGTCTCAGGCTGTGCTGTCCTCCCTTAGGCCCAGCTCCTCCTGGCTCTTGCTGGCTGTGGCAGGAGCAGAGCCCTTGTGCATCCCCTGTGCACACTCCTGCTCCTCCCCCAGCCGCCTCCGCCTGTCTTCGTGCCCCCTGACCCTGCCCGTACCCCAGCTGCACCACAAGCAGCCCCAGACCCAGTGGGGTCTCCCAGCAGGGCTCGTCCTGTCACAAGAGTGTGTTGGCCAGGCCAGGCCAGGCCACAGTGTGTCATGGTGTGGAGGCTGAGGCCTTTCTGGGAGGCTCGTGCTGGCCACGGCTGCGCTCTTCCTGTCTGGGACGAAGGTCTCTTCTGTGTGAGCTCTGCCTGCCTTGCTCCTGGTGGAGTTGGGCAGCCACCATCCTGCTGCACATGCCTCTGGGGGCAGCTGTCCTGGGCTTCCGATTCCTGAGGGCCCCATGCTGCCTGCTGCCCGTGACCTCAGCCACAGGCGAGGCTGGCAGTCCAAGGTCCTTTGACACGGCCCATTCTGAGGGTCCCTGAGCCGTCCTTGCTGGGTGCCACGAGCCTGTGATTGGCTCCAGCCCCCTGCCACGTGCGCATCCTGTCCCAGAGGTACCTGGTCCTCAGGGGCGCTCCCATCCCTAGGGCAGAACTCCCCTCTGCAGGCAGGTGCCTCCCAGCACTGTGCGGGGCTCAGTGAAGCTGGCCTCCTGAGGTGGGGACCCCAGACACTCCCGGAGGGGCCGGGTATGTGGCACTGCCCCTGTGGGCTGCAGGGTGTGTATGGGGGTATTTCCGGTGACTGAGTGCCCCAGGAGCAGGAGGGCCCCTCTCTCACTCCGGGATGCGGCCTGGGCTCTCCATCTGTCTGCCCTCTGGGACGTGGACCTGTAGGTCTATGCAGGGACTTCATAGGCTGGGCTTGCGGCTGAGGCACTGAGGCGCCGTGTACGGCCAGCCCTGGGTGGGCTGTGTGCCTCTGGCAGTCCTGAGGCGGGGAGCAGGGTGGGTCCCCCAGGCTGTGTAGCTGGGTGGTGGACTGTGCTCATGGCATCGCCTGGTGTCCCTTGGCCTTGCTCCCAGCCTGGCTGTGCTCTTGGGGGGCTGTGGGGAGAGTCTGGCAGTGCAGATGGCGTGTGGGTGCCAGGGGCCTTGTTCCTGGGCGTCAGTGGGAGGGCTGTGGGGGTGCCCACAGCCAGGCACATCCATGGTGGCCAGGGCAAGTCTGACAGCAGTCCCCAGGCCCTCCTGACCCCCAGGGTGCCCTGGACCTGGGCTCCTGGCCCTCGCAGGACACCACATGCTGTGCTGTCGTCCCCAGGCTGACGGGCAGCGAGCCCTTGACCATCCTCCCGCTGACCCTGGAGCCTGAGGCGGCGGCCCTGGCGCACTACAAGGCCTGCGACCGGCTGAAGCTGGAGCGCAAACAGCGGCGCATGTGCCGCCGGGACCCGGGCGTGGCCGAGACGCTGGTGGAGGCCGTGAGCATGAGCGCGCTTGAATGCCAGTACCAGTTCCGCTTTGAGCGCTGGAACTGCACGCTGGAGGGCCGCTACCGCGCCAGCCTGCTCAAGCGAGGTGAGTGGGGCGGGCGGCGGCCAGGGCGTGCTGAGGGCGGGCCAGGGACTGGGACCTCCCATGGCCTCGCTTAGGTGCGGGTTCCCGCCCAGCACCGCTAAAAACTGAAAGCTGGGGTTGGAGACGCCCCTGGGATCTGCACATGTGTCCCCTCTCACCTCCCATCCAAGGAAGAGGCGTCCAAGGGCGTTCCCAGGCACGCCCCCACTGACCCCTGACCCTTAGACCCCTGCTGACCCCCGACCAGGCTTCAAGGAGACCGCCTTCCTCTACGCCATCTCCTCGGCCGGGCTGACGCACGCGCTGGCCAAGGCCTGCAGTGCCGGTCGCATGGAGCGCTGCACATGCGACGAGGCTCCGGACCTGGAGAACCGCGAGGCCTGGCAGTGGGGCGGCTGCGGGGACAACCTCAAGTACAGCAGCAAATTCGTCAAGGAGTTCCTGGGCCGGCGCTCGAGCAAGGACCTGCGGGCCCGGGTGGACTTCCACAACAACCTCGTGGGTGTGAAGGCAAGCGGGGCGGGGTGGGCGGAACCCCAGGGGAGGCGGGCGCCTCTCTTGAGCCCTGCAGGGACGAGCTCCCAAAGCCTGGTTACCTGCTGGAGAGATGGGCGGGGACCCTCGTATCTGGGGTGCCCCTTGGCTCCCTGGAGAGGGCGAGTCAGGGAGAAGGGGCGGGTCTGGGCCCCCTGTTTCTGTCCTGGGCTGCTCAGGCAGGCAGACGCAGCTCCCTGGTTGGGCCGTCTGACCAGGCCAGTGGCAGTGTGTTCCCCGCTTGCCAGCGTGGCCCGCAGTCTTGACCCAAAGACCTAACTTGAGGACATCCAGGGCAAGGGGTTGTAGACAGGATCCCGGGGAAGGGTTAGGGATGCCAAACTCACTTGCCAAGCGGGACAGCCGGTTCTGTGTCCCTGTCCACATCCGTGGAGCACCTGGTTTTTCCGCTCCAGGTCCACACTGATGGCAGAGAACGTTAGAGTCCTTAACTCGGATCTGGACGGCACCCCAGCGTCCCTGACCCCCAGTCCCTCAACTCCCCAGGCCCTCAAGTGCAGGGGCAAGCCTGGGCCTTGGAGGGCTGGGCAGCCCCTGTGCCAAGCTGGGGAGGGCAGGGGCTAACTGCTTCAGCACTGCCCTGAGCTCCACGTTACTGAGAAGCCAAGCTCTGCATCCCACGCTGATGAGGAGTTGGGCCCCGTTTCCAACCAGTGCCCGGTGCTCTGGGCAGGCAGGCAGGCCAGCTGGCCCCTCCCGGGCAGACTGAACCCTTAGGCCGTCTGCTCCTTTTCTGCACACCTCCCTCCCCTTCGGCCCTGTCGTGAGCCAGTGATGAAGCGTCACTGTGAGCGCCTGTTAGCTCCGTGGGTCCTGTACATTTGACTTTCTCATTAAAGCAGCAGTAAGTGCAGGAGGGTGGGGAGGGCAGTGCAGTTTCTAATCTCCACCCAGCAGAGCAGCCCTCGGCTGTCTGCCCAGGAGCTCAGCGCCTGGCTCAGGGCCTCCTTCCCCGCTGTGCTGGCCTTGGGGTGCCTGCAGGGACCCAGCGATCCCACGGGAAGCTGACTGTCTTCAGGGGCTCGAGGTTCCGGGCAGCAGTGTGCAACGCGCCAGCTGCTCCTGGGAGGGCTCGGGGTGCAGCCCCTCCTCCTCCGTGTCCTGGGTGCCCCCCTGGGGTGAACGCCTCACCAGGCGGTGTCCATATCCACCCCACAGGCTGACCCACGGGTGGTGCCTGCGTGGTTTCTGTGTGGGCAGGGATGTGGCCAGCCAGGGGCAGACCCCTGGGTGAGGTCACGTGTGTCTTCATGTGTCGCGTGACCTGACAGGAGGCTGGGCCAGCGCGGGTGGTGGACGGTGGCAGAGACAGAGGGCAGGGTAGCCACTGTGGGTCCCAGGTGCTGGCTCTATCCAGGGCAGGTGCTGGGGCTCCACATGGTGGGTGACAGTGACCCCTGCTGGCGGGGCCCGGCGCCCTTACCCTGGGCTCTGTACAGGTGATCAAAGCTGGGGTGGAGACAACCTGCAAGTGCCACGGTGTGTCGGGTTCCTGCACCGTGCGGACCTGCTGGCGGCAGCTGGCCCCTTTCCACGAAGTGGGCAAGCACCTGAAGCACAAGTATGAGACAGCGCTCAAGGTGGGCAGCACCACTAACGAAGCCACTGGCGAGGCGGGCGCCATCTCCCCACCCCGGGGAAGGGCCTCGGGGATGGGCGGTGACCCACTGCCCCGCACGCCGGAGCTGGTGCACCTGGACGACTCGCCCAGCTTCTGCCTGGCTGGCCGCTTCTCCCCCGGCACGGCCGGCCGCCGGTGCCACCGTGAGAAGAACTGCGAGAGCATCTGCTGCGGACGTGGCCACAACACGCAGAGCCGGGTGGTGACCAGGCCCTGCCAGTGCCAGGTGCGCTGGTGCTGCTACGTGGAGTGCCGGCAGTGCACCCAGCGTGAGGAGGTCTACACCTGCAAGGGCTGAGCCCCGCTGCAGCCAGTCCTGCTCCGTGGGGTGCAGGCACCCCACGCAGTCTGCGGGGTCTGCACCACCAGGGCTGAGCCCTGAGGCCCTGCCAGCCCCGCTGTGGGGTGTAGACGCTGCACACAGTGCGAGGGTCTGCACCCGGAAAGGCCGGGCCACTGCGCGTGGCAGAGGGCGCCTGTCTGTGCCAGGGCTTGGTGCCATCAGCGTGCCGTGACCCAGGGCTGGTGCAGCGGCCCCTGTCCGGCCCCCACCACCCTGCCTCACCCTGGGCCTCAGCTTCCTCCCGACACGAGAGCATTGCTGCAATGCTTTCTGAGCTGTCTCTGTCCCTGACACACCCGTCCCCAGAGTGTGGTCCTCTTCCGGTCTCTTGACTGCCCCTCCTGCTTCCGGGCTTGCTCTGAGGCTCGGATGGCCAGTGCACCTTTGTGCCCACGTGGCTGCCCGTCGGAGCAGCCTGGCCTGGCACCGGCGCCAGCACTGCGTTCAGAGAGCCAAACCACTAGGAGAGATGCCGGCTGCTGCGTCCGGCCCTGCTGCCCAGGGCCAGGCCCGGGGGCTCTGCCGTCCCTCTCTGACACGGAGCACTTCGTTTTGGAGTGAAATTGTTGACTTTTAAATTATTATTATTATTTAACTAATGTAATAATTATTATTTCCTCTGACCCCGCTGCCTCCTAGGCTGTCTCTGGGGGGTGCGCCCTGTGCCGTCAGGGCTCCTCCTCCCCTCCCCACCATGCCCGCAGCTGTCTGTCTTGGCCTTCGAAACCACTATTCAGACGATGCTGTCGTTAGATGAGACCCCTTGGGGCTCTGGGAGCCGCCACACAAAGGCAGAGGCGCCGGGCCTGCTCCACACCTCGCGGCAGCCTGGTGCCCAGGGCCATGGTGTGGCGGCCGGGGGGAGACAGCCGTGCCCGCACTGTGCGGGGAGCGGTCGGCAGGTGCAGTCTGCCTAGCTTTGGCCACAGCACACCTTCTTTTGGAAGTGCTGTCTTGACAGGGGAAGCGGCCAGTGCCCAAGGGTTGGCTTGAATGTGTGTGTGTGTGTGTGTGTGTGTGTGTGCGCGCGCGCATGTGTGCGTGCTAGGCTGGTGTGAGCAGCTGGGTTGCACCCCTTCTCAGAGCTCTGCGGTGACTCTGTGGCCCTGGGCGTCTGGGCGGTGTCCTGCGGATGTGGCTGGGGTCCAGGCAGGCAGCAGGGTGGGCACTGGGGCTACTGAGCAAGGGGCGGCTTCCCGGGGCCGGGTGTTCGGGGGGCCGGCTGTGTTTTGAAGACGCCTCTTCCTGGGAACATGGGTCTCTGGCCCCTCCTGGATAGCGCACGCGGCAAGGTTAGCTCTGTGGTTGACGGTGCAGCCGCCCGACCAGCCCCAGGAGGCAGGTGTGGCGGCAGTGAGCCCTGCCCGTGAGGTCTGGCTGGGAGGGGTCCGTGCCGCTGTGAGTCCGCAGCAGGCCTGCCAGTTGCCCTCAGAGCCCAGCTCAGCACCGTGCGGTGTGTGGCACAGCTCTTCCGAGTCGGGAAGGGTATTTTTATCAAACACCACATTTAACCCTATGTGCTTAGTGCCCAGAGGGTATTTCCTAGACAAGGTGGGGCACAGGCCCCCGCTGGCTGTTTCTATGCAAGTGTGTGTTTGAATGTTCTGCTGACTGCGGCAGCTGCTCTTCGGGGGGCAGGGTGGAGGGAAGGGCGGCCCCTCCCGCCGCGCGGCCCGGGCCCAGGCTCCATGTGGCTGGGTGGTGCCGGGCCGCACGGGACGACCTTGTGCTGAGTCTGTGCGAGCCTGTTGATTTCTCTACCTCATCTGTGTAGTGAGTAGGTGTGTACCTGAGTGACTGTGGAGAATGTATTTATTTAACAGCTTTGTATAACAGAACCGGAAACAATGGAAACACTAAATAAATGTATTTTAAATTATAGCCAAACTCAGCCTGGAGCCTTCATGAGGATCCCAGGGGCGGGCGGGGGATGGGGAGGGCATCGGGGGAGGGTGTGAGGAGGGCGGGGGGAGGGGCGGTGTGGAAGAGCGGCCTGGGGAGCGGGCATGGCGGGGCTGTGGACAGGGCCTCCCGCAGCCTGCGTGCAGCCTCCTGCTCCTGTGTGGCCCCTCAACCCTGTCCTGCCTGGAGGCCTCACTGTGCTTCCGCTTCTTGAGGTGTGGCAGGCCCCTGCTGTGAGCGCCAGAGCGCTCCACGCCCCCAGCGGCCATATCCTGTGTACCAGAGCCGGGAGCTGCCTAGTGCAGATGTGGATTGTGGCTGGCGAATTCCAAACCCCTTCCCAGACCCTGGCACCGGGTCCAGTGGGCACTGCAGCTGGGCATCCCAGCAGGCACAGGCAGAGCCCCTCCTCTCCTGGCATGTCCCCTGGTGCCCGTGGTGCCCCGCCCCACCAGTGCCGGGACCCAGGCGTGGGGCTGTGCGCGCGCGCCGTGCCCGGGCGTGTGTGGCTGTTTCCGAGTGTGGTGCACAGGTGTGTGTGCTGTGTCTGTGCGTCACGTGGCCGTGCGTACGTGGCCGTGTCCAGGTGCAGCTCTGCACGTGGCTGTGTGTGTGTGGTGTGCGAACCCTGCCCCCAGCCTAGCCCCCTCAGTCTCCAGGGCTACCAGTCCAGGGCCCCAGCCCGGGCAGGACCGGGGCCACCCTGAGGGATCCCTGCCACAGGGCAGGTGCCTGTCCAGTGCAGGCAGGGCAGGGAGGCGACTCTGGGCCGCGCCTGACCGCCAGGAGTGTGGATCCTGCTTGCTGCAGCAGCTGTGAGGGCGGACCAGCCCTGTCTGCTGAGCTCCACAAGCGGACACGCAGGCCCGGGCCGCACGGGTGGCCAGGGGCGAGCTGGGCTCTCGTCGGGCAGCATCACCGGCCCGCCGGGCCAGGTGGGAGCTGGCTCCCCTGCCGGGGCAGGCAGTGGGCCGGGGCTGGGGAATGAGGTAAGTAGGGCGTTAGGTAACGTCTCAGAGTGCGGCTGGCTGCAGCGGGAGCAGGCAGGGTTGCAACGCTGGCTGTGCTCACGGACTTAGCCTGGAGGTGGAGGGGCGGGGCAGGAGGGAAGGAGGGAGGAGGAGGGGAGGAGAAGAGGAGCAAGGAAAAGGCCGGAGGGGCGGAGGGGCGAGGGGTTAGGGTAGGGAGGAGCGGGAGAAGAGGAGGGAGAGGAGGCCCTGGCCTTGAAGAGCCCCGCAGGCGGGCCGGCCTCCTCCGTCTCGGCCTAGGCTGCACCCTGGGGTCGGCAGAGGCTCTGTGCTCAGGTGAGGGAGCCGTGGGCCGTGCTGGGTCTGGACCAGGGCTGAGGTCAGGAGACCCAGGCAAGTTGTTCTCAAAGCTGGGCCTGGCGCTGCAGACGGAGCTCCCTTCTGCGCCCAGCTCCTACCTCAGCCTCTCCCAGGGCGGGCTGGGGCCCTGCAGCTGCCTCCTGAGGCGGCGGGGCTGTGCGGGGCCGTGCGTGCCTGGCGCCCACATTGTGCCCTCACGGATGCGTTCCCTGGCCTCGCAGCTGCCTGCATCTGCCCCAGGGGCGCCCGCCCTGCCGCCCCTGCTGCCACCCTCGGCGGCTGAGCAGCTGGCTCTGGGCTTGGGGTCCTCACCCAGCCACCTCCCCAGGGGCGCTGTCACAGGGCCCTGGTGGTGCTGCAGAGCGAGCGGGCTGCACCCTGGGCCAGGAGCAGAGCCGTGGGGGCAGAGCCTGGGCCGGGAAGAGGGGGTGGTTTGCTCCTCCTCTGTGCCGCTCTGGGGCCTCAGTTTCCCTGCCACATGGAGTGGGCTGGTGGCCTCAGACCTTGGTGGCGTCTTGAGTGACGGCTGCGGGTGGTGCAGGGCCAAGTCCTGGCCAGAAACCTTGCTGGACGCCCCTGGGGAGAATGCAGGGGGGTCCAGCTGGTTGCCAGGGAAACCCGTGCCAACAAACACTCCCCTCCTTTACTGTGGGGGCGCGATGACCTCATCTGCCCACCCTCCGCTCGGCTGGCTAGAGGTGGGGGGTCTGCTGTTTGTGTTGGGCCCTGGGCCATGGAAACCAACAGGGAGAGCCGGGGCTGGGGGCTGGGGGCTGGGATGCGGCCGATCCTGCTGTGGTTGGAGGAGACCAGGCCCGGCCTCCCACGCAGGCCAGGCCCGGGAGGAGGGGCGGCGGCCGGGAGGAAGGGCGGCCAAGGCCCAGAGCGCCCAGCAGGACCAGAGGGGCCGTGCGCAGGTGGGGTCCACACCAGCTGGTGAGGGGCGGGCGAGCTGTACCCTGACTCTCCCACAGCCCAGGCCCTTGGGAACCGATGCCACCGCCCGTGGGGACAGGCGAGGCCACGGCAGCCGCACCGCAGCCACTGCCCTCTGTCTCTCTCAGCACTCACGCACCTTGCTGTTTCGTTCCGCCCACCTGAAAGCCAGCTGGAGCAACTGACGCTGTCTCCGGGGACACCAGACAGGCACACGCACACATGCACGCGTGCATGCAAGTGCTCACACGCACACACGCGCACACGCACACACGCGCACATGCGCACACGCGCACACGCGCACACCGCCTGGCCCCAAGCGGCCCGGTGCCCGCTGCCTCTGCTCCCCCAGTCTGGCCCTGTCGCGGCCTCCGGCCAAGGCACAGGACACCAGCCGTCCACGCAGAGGCCCTCCCCAGCTCTGCTTCCCGGTTTTGCCTGAGAGCGGCGGGGGTTTTCCTTCTCAGGCCGGGCAGCCTCCATCTCACACGCTGGGGACGATTTTGGATGTAGAATATGGGCATGGGTCGAGCATCCCTAGCCTCCAACACCCAAATCCTCCCAAATCCTCCGAACCGGAACCTTTCTGAACCTCATGCAGGTGCTTAAAAGTACAAGAGTGCTGGGTTTTGGAACCTTTCAGGTTTGGAGGATCAGGGATGCATTGGTCAGCGCCTGGTCCCCGGCGGTGTCCACCCCTGACACACCCTAGCGGGGACGCACCCAGCTCAAGGCCACAGGGGAGTGTGGACAGAGGCAGAGGGGCCTGGGCAGCACCCACCCTGACAGTCACCTCCGTCACCCCTCTGCCACAGTCCTCACATGGCCTCTGTGACCGCACTGGTGGTGGCGATGGCAGGTGGGCACGGGACGGCAGGGTGGGCACGGGACGGCAGGTGGGCATGGGACGGCAGGGTGGGCACGGGACGGCAGGTGGGCACGGGACGGCAGGTGGGCACGGGACGGCAGGGTGGGCACGGGACGGCAGGTGGGCACGGGACGGCAGGGTGGGCACGGGATGGCAGGGTGGGCACGCGCTCACCCTAGCCTTCCCTGGTGGGAACTGCAGGTCCTGGAGGGGGTGGATCCGGGAGGCAGGGGAGGAGGAGGGACACAGGGAGGGGACGCACGGACAAAGCAGCAGGTGATGCCGGTGCCCAGCGGCCCGTCCCCAGCCGAGTGTGGTGTGAGAGAGGCCCAGCCAGGACCAGAACATAGGGACCAGGTGCAGAACTCGCAAAGCCTCACCTGGAGCTGGGCAGGAGGGGGAGACCTGAGTAGCCGGGTCAGGAGATGAGGCCAGCGTCCTTCCTCTCTGTCTGTCTGTCTGTCTCTGTTTATTTCTGTCTCTGACTGTCTGCCTGTGTCTCTGTCTCTCTATCTCTCTGTCTCTATGTGCCTGTCCCTGTCTCTCTCTCTCTCTCTCTCTGCGTCTCTCTGTCTCTGTCTCCATCTCTCTGCCTGTCCCATCTGTCTGTCTCTGTCTCTCTGTCTCTGTTTCTCTCTCTCTCTCTATCTCTCCGTCTCTCTGTCTGCCTCTGTCTCAGTCTCTGTCCCACGGTTCCAGTGGAGCTGGAGCAGTGGTCCCCGGCTCCCTCCGTGGCCACAGGTCGCAGTCAGCGGGAACCTAACCTGGCCACCTTCTCGCCCACTCACCTTTCTCCTCCTCTTTCCTTTTCCTTTCTTACCTTTTCCTTCGTTTCTCTTCCCCTTTCTCCACTTTTCCTTCCTTTTTCTCCTCTTCTTCCCATTCCCCTCTCTTTTCCGGTCGTGCTGCCGTGGTGCTGTGTGTCCCACGCTTGCCATGAAATAATAAAAAAGCAACAAATGTGAATAAAATAATAATGAGAACAACAATAACAAAAGAACAGCAGTTCATATGCTGTGTATTATTGTCTTCACAATAGTCCCTCAGATGACAAGACACTGACCAAGGGGACTCCTACAGCGGAGAAACGGATTCTTTTCAGGGAACGAAGATAAACGAGTGGTGTAAAATGAAACAAACGGCGTGTGTATTAAAGCACTGTTGAAACAATGGCATGTGTGATTCGGGGACGTATATGAACTTCTGCCTATTTCCTTTTATCTCTCTTTATTTTGCTCTTCGTTTGTATGTACAAACTTTGTATTTCTCAGAAGAGACCCAGTGATGTTCGGGTTTGTGTGTTTATTTCACTTGACATCATGTTCTCTAGTTGCACCCAAAGGCCTCACGTTTATCCTTCTTTATGGCAGTGTAGCATTCCACCGGGCATAGATACCACATTGTCCTTACCCACTCCTGTGTTGATCTGTTTCCAAATTCAGGTCTTGTAAGTGGTGCTGCTGCGAATGTGGGTGTGCCTGGCTTGCTGTGACCGGTGTCTCTCACTCTCTCAGGACTACCTTTCCTCCAGTTGTGTTTGTGGCCGCTCTGTCAAAGACGAGGCGACTGAGTGTGCCTGGGCTTGTTTCTGCTTTCTCTTCTTCAGGCTCATTGTATCTTCCAGACCCTGTGCTTGACCTTGTGTGTGCTCTGGCTGACCCTCACAGGGCCTCCGGCTGACCCCAAATGGAGCTCCGGACAATCCCCGACTGGCCACTGTGCCCCAGCCCTTGGGAAGCTGGAGGCTCCCTGTGACCCTCGGGGCCGCGCGGCTGGAGCGGTGCCAGTCCATCCGACACCCACGCAGGTCTCGGGGTCCAGGCGCGGAGGGACGTCGGGGCCAGCGT